GAGTAAAAGAAAGAAATTATAAATCATCAAAGTGTATTGGATCCTAAGAATTAAAAATAATAATAATAATAATAATAATAATAATAATAATAATAATAAAAAAATGGATCATGTTATCTCAATTACTTTGTATGTACATTTATCTCTTTTATTATCACTCCCTTCCTACAAAATCTGAATCCACCTAAGGGCATGAGCAATAGAACAAACTGATAGATATTATAAGTTTATTATAATATTTGTCGCAAAGTAGGATATATTTGTATATATTTGTGATATAGTCTGTATTCTTATTTTACTAGGTTTCCTAACAAGTTTAGGAGTAGTATTGTAACACTATATATATTATTCAATGGTACACACTCCAACCCAAGGAGTTTTCCCGAAATCTAACACAAACCTCTACGAGGTTTGTTTACTTGCCACATCATCATCATACAAATCCCACACTTGACAAGGCTTTCATCAACAATAAGGTGTTGTTTAGTTCACTTGGGAATTAGAACTTCCCATGAATTGTAAATTTATGGAAATTAAATTCCAATTTGGGAATTTTATAAAATTGTTTGGTTAACAATGAGGGAAGTAACTTCCATGGGAATTTCCACTTACCTAGGGGGGTTAGGTAAGTAAGTTCCTATATTTTGTGGGAACTCAAAATTCCTAGGAAGTTCCACTTCCCCCATTTCACCAAATTATTGTCAACCAAACAACACACTAAAATTGCAATTCCTAAGAAGTCTCACTTCTCATGTTTTTTTATGCCAAACAAACAACTCATTAAATGGGACCTACTTACAACTCATTAAATTTATCTAAGAGGTTTGTTTACTTGCCACATCATCATCATACAAACCTTTTCAAAGGTATATGGGACCTACTTACAACTCATTAAATTTATCTACAATAAAATAAGCCCTAACAAGGTTTATTTATTTTTCTAAAAAAAAAAGGAAAAAGTGGGCCATTTGGAGCAAATGAACCGATTTGTATATACAAACCTGTTCCTTATTTTGCTTTATCCACAATAAGAGGTTTGTCAACAAATCTCAAAAAAGTCCCCACAAACCCAATAACAAACCTCTTATTGTGGATGCCCTAAGAAAGCAATCCTGTTATCAATTCAACTATCCTAATTCCTACTCCGTATTACCTTGGAGGTTAGGCCCTTGGAGAATGACATCGGAAGACTTTGAGTCTAGTGACCGACCCATTGAATATAATACAAGCACCATCTTTAGGTTCACCTGTTTGGCACGACATGAGTAATATACATTTACGTTACGGGTCTGTTTTGATTTATTGAACTGAAGTGATTGGAGCTGAACTGAATTGAATTGTTTATGGGATAATGAAATTAGAAACTGAAATGAATTGAATTGAAATGAACTAAAATGAAATTAAACCGAAGAGAATAAAGTCAAGCAAAAATTAGCGCAACCAACCAAAAAGGCAACAAACATCTTGACTTGGCACTTTGGCTTAGGTAGTGAAGCCTTCAGATTCCTAAATTCTCAATAAAAGGAAAAAGAAAAAAAGATGGTAAAAGAAAATAAAGAAAACACATTCCCAATTCCCAAATTTCCTTAGTTGATAATTAAAGTGGAAATCTTTGACCAGTTGAGAAAAAGGTTCCCTTAAATTAGCTACTTCGACTACCCAACCCAACTTATATAAACCACCCCCACCAAACTATAAAGATAAAGTTTATATGTGCAGTATTTTTTTTCACAGTCTTAATTCTACTTGTATAGTTCGTGTGTTTTACTGTACTGTAATTATTTGTGAACTAGTACTAATTGAAAATCATACCCTACTAGAAATGGTAAGTAATCTAAATAAAGTAATTTCAACCATTAGGTTAACCTTGATTCTTACTTTCTCAACCATATATCTTACAGAGTATAATACTCGTATAAGTCAAATTGCACTACACAATTTTGCTTGTATTTTACCGGTACAAAAAAAAAATATGGGCAAAGGTTATTAAAATGGATGTGAAAAACAAAGAGATTTTATAATAAATTAGTTGTTTATTAGGAGTATATATACACTTAAGAAAATACAATAAGGAGTAATATGAATAAGATCAATGAAAAGTTCTAACGTAGTAATTAAGACTCTGTATCAAATTAATATTAAGATTTTATGTACCATAGAATGGATTGAAGGTTCAAACCCCCCACCATTTGTGACTTGAATAATTCTCGTAGCCTCGTGTAACATAAAATATATATATTAAAAAAAAAAAAGCAAAAAAAAATTTATAAAAAAAAAAAAAAAAACAAAACAAAACTTTAGATTATTTCGTAATAATAGAAGTATATAATCTTTAAGGTGTGTTAATTTTAAACAAAACAAAATCGAATTTTCAGTTGATTTAAATGTTGTACGAAGTATTTTTTTTGGCAATTATTTCAAAAAAAAAAATTAAAAAATGGAATAATTAATTTTTTTTTTCTTCCAAAAAGATTAAATCAAGGTCATCCATTGGACATGGGCTTGATGGACTTTGATCTTAGGGTTAGTTGTCGTACTGATGAGGGCACATGTATTTTACTACGTAAAAGAAATAAAAATTAAAAAAAAAGCCCGAAAGATACCCGACCTGGATCCGTGAAAGTTCTGTGATTTGGATTTTTTTGAAGTTTAAGGGGATGATAATTTCTTTTTTTGGATTTTTCATTCTTTATCATATTAAGTTATTATTACTATTTATAATACAAGTATAGTGTTATTGTTTTTCATTTCTACTTATGGGCCCTATTAGGTCAACCATCATGGCCCACTGTTTTTGGCATCAATTGAATATTAATACCCTTCCCATTTACTCTAATGGTTTATTATATTCATTTTTAAATGCAAAACTAGTTTTTAGGCCCGGGCGATGTCCCGGTCATTTTTTGTATATAAAAAATTATAATAAATTAAAGTAAAATCTATTGGTGGTTTTATAATTAAAAAAAATTAAAATCATTTTTTTAAAATATTATTGAACATTATTAAAATTCATTAGCAAATTTGCAATAATCTAAATTTTATAATTCATATTAGTTTGTTTTATTTGTTAAAAGAGTTTTTATCTACCATTAAAAATTTATTCAAGGTAAACACATGTTCTATGTATTTTTGTGTTACATATTTTAAATACATATAACCTATATAAATTATGGATGAGTAAACGAAAGAATGAGATTATATTGAAGTGTATATATAAGTTCAATTAAAAATTTAAAACTTATGAATATTAAATTTTTGTGAGGAAACATTGATATCTGTTTTAATATGACATGACTCTACATCATTTATCAAGTCATGACGACAGGTGACAAAAACTATGACACGTGGCATGATTACAACTCTTCCCATGACTATTAATATACGGCTATTTCACCAAATGTCATTGAGTACTTTAAAAATTCATCAAATGTCATCGGACTTTTCAGAATTCATTAAATGCCACCGAGTTTTTACAAAATTCACCGAGTGCCATTAATGACTAACGACGGTTAACTCCGTTAGTCATTAAGGCTAATTATGCCACGTGGTGGCTTATGATTGGTTCATTTTATTATTATTTTATTTATCAAAAAAATTATAATAAAAAAAAGGAACCTCAGCCACTCTTTCCACCGCACCACCGCCCCTACGCCAGCCCAACCCCTTGCCTCCACCCCCATCGGCGACCAACATCGTCGGCGGCCACCCTTCCCCCTGACCCTATGCCCTTTTCTATCTACATCCACTCCCCCCTAAACAACCATCCTCGACACCCTAATAAAACCCCAGAAACGAAATCTCCAAAATCGAAAACCAAAATTTGGTTTTCGATTCTAAGCGAGGTGGTTTAGGGGGTGGAGATGGGAGGGGAATGAGTGGTTTGGGTTTGTCGGAGCAGGGAGGGATGGAGTGGAGGGGGTTACAAATTTAGGGAAATCGATATTGGGGTTTAAGGTGTCGAAACCCTTGATTTCGATTTTTGGGGATTTTAATTTAGGGTTCCGGCGTGGTGGTTGAAAGGGTGGAGCTCGGAGGGGATGAACTTATTTGGGATCTCCGGCGTGGGGAGGGGGGCTTTGGTCGTCGGCGGTGGTGAGGGGAGGGATTTTCGAGGGAGAATGAGAGTTTGAGAATCGGCTGGGTGCGTTGTCGGCGCGGGCTGGCTACGCTGGGTTGCCGGCGACACTGTTGTTCAAGGCTAGGTCACCGACTCGGTTGTTCAGGGTTGGGTCGTCGTCGCGGTGGGGACTGGTTGGAGGCAGGGATATGGTGGTGGCAGTGATAGACGGTGGTCGTGCTAGGTCATGGTGGATGGGTTTTTTTTTTTTTAAAAAAAAAAAGTTTTTTTATTAAGTAATTAATTTACTGATTTAATAAGCAACCAATTATAAGCCACCACGTGGCATAATTAGCCTTAATGACTAAAACTGCCGTTAGTCATTAATGGCACTCGGTGAATTTTTAAAAACTCGATGGCAATTGGTGAATTTTGAAAAGTCCGATGGCATTTGGTGAATTTTTAAAGTGCTCAGTGGCATTTGGTGAAATAGCCGTTTAAGATATATATAGATTATCGATTCAGGGTATGTTCTGATTTACTAAACTAAACTTAATCAAATTGAATTGTTCATGAGAGAAAGGAATTAGAGATTGAACTGAACATAACTGAAATTAAGCTGAAGAGAACAAATCCTTGATTAGGGGTGGCAATTCGAGTCAGCGGGTCAGGGTAGGGTCGAATTTTGGGTTATGCTTAAATGAAAAACTTAAAATTTCATTGACAAATGTACTTATATATGTGAGATATGTTAGATTTGTCTCGATTTATACTTTATTAGCATCAAATTTTTTTTTTTTTAATAATTTACACACTTGTAATAAAAAAGACATTAATGATTGAAATAACATGTGTGACAAATGCGCAGTGAGAAATGTTGTGTTTATTAAAAATAAAATAAATACATAAATAAAGGGAGGAAGGAAGAATGGTTTTTCAATAATAAAAAATGAAGGTGTTGACAATGAACCATGCAATGTAATTACGGATTACAAAAGTGGAAAAAAAAAATACTAATTCCGTTTCACGGTGTTTGCAACAATTTCCCAAAACAGAAGCTACACATTATATTCAAATTAAAAAAAAACTTTCCCAATATAGTAAACTTTTTTGTTTGAGTTTACATTTATACCCTTACTATATTTTTAATTTATCCATAATTAAAACTCTAACTCACATTTCCTCTCATCCCTCACAACCACATCCACCACCAACATCACCAATTTTTCTCTCTCCTCCTTCTCAACCACCAACAGCAGCAGCACTATTCCCTCATCTCACTCTTCTCTCACAACCACGAAACCACCACCACCACTCAAATCAACTCACTGCCCCTTCCACCTCGATCACCCTTTTCAAAATCGCCGCCTCACTTTACCACTACCTACTTTTTCCTTTTCAAAGTCGCTGCTTCACTTCTTCAACGCCCACTTAGCCTTTTTCAAAGTCGCCGCCTCCTTGCAAATTTGGTATGGTTCAACTTATTAACCAATAAGGGGTGAGGTATTGGTGGTGGTGCAATGAGGTTTCAGATCTAAGTGGTGGTGAGGTGGGATTAAATTTAAAAGATTAATATATTATAATTTTCATCTACACGAAATAATAATGTCATAATTAATCAGATAAATGTTATTTAATATTATCCGCTACCAGCCCATCAATCAGGGGGAAACTCTATTTATTATAGGGAAATTTTATCATTGATACACCTTAGGTTTAGATTTTTATCAATGATTTACAAGTGGTGGCGGCTGTGGGTGAGACATCCTACCCCGTAACACTAAATCATTATTCAACCATGTTGGATCCCTAGTAGTGCCAACCAAAATGCATATCACGTCATCATTAGGGAATGTTCTAAACATCTTTAGCTTATTAAGGGTTTGTTCTCTTACGTTGAAATTCAGTTCGGTTCAGCTCCTAATTTCCTTCTCTTATAAAATATTCAGTTCAGTTCAGCTCAGTTCAGTTCAGTTCAGCTGAGTTCAATCAATGAGAACATAGCCTAAGTCACTAGCCCACCATCATCTAATGACCAGTGTTTCCTGTTATAAACATAGTGAAATGTTGGGTTCAAAATATCTACCGGAGGATCCAAACTACGGATACGACCTTCAAATTTAATAGCCAAATCGATCAAGTTGCAAGTATCCGAGTCCACTTCAATATCAACATTGTGCACCAAATATTAAAATCTCAATACCACATCGTTACTCAGCTCATTCTGCAAATTAAGGTTAAATCTCAATTTAATCCCACCAAAATAAATTAAAATCACACAATCAAGAACCACAATTACTTAACAATACATGATTAAACTTAGGTTGACCCCACCCTCGAATTTGAATTCTTTCGGGTTGTGAGACACAGTAAAATTGAATCAATATAACAAAAAAATTAAAAAGTTCCCCAAAAGACAAACAAAACAAATAACGAAAACAACAAAATTAGAGGGAGGGGTCAAACCGAAATTTCTTCAAATTCAATGAAGTGAATCAAATAAATAAAGAAATTAAGAATTTAATCGGAATCGACTTGAAGAGAGTATCTGGTCCGACTCTACACAAATATCATCGAGACATATATTATCACTAACACTTAACCATGTAAACTCAAAACACCCGCATCAAATTATATATGAAAATCAAACAAAGACAACATTAAGCAAGCAATTCAAGCAAACATAATCATACACAAATCGTGCATAATTCATTGGGAAAATCTACCAACAATTGTATCCACTTAAACGAAATTACATCCATTAACAAAAATACTAACAATTTAAAGCGAAAAACACAAAATTCAAAGCACAAGGTAGCACTAACCTTTTACAGTCAATAAGGCAGCGTGGAATTTTAAGGAATGATTACTTAGAGGCATAAGAACTGGTGGAGAGAGTTAGAGGGATGAAGAAGATGGACAATCAAGTTAATCTGTCTTTAATTTTGGCAGTTGGAGCCTTCGAGGGAGAGTTAACGAGGGGGCAATTTAGTCAATTCCTTTGTAAGTCAAAATTGTTGTCATCAACCTATTATTAACGTTTAATTAACAGAGTGATTACTATAGTTAACTAGTTGAAAGTACAAGTGTGCCACTGATAATTATAATTAGAGCTGGTGTATCATTTATAAAATTCCAAACCTAGGGTGTAGTACGTGTACCAATGATAGTTTCCCTTTTTATAAATGCATCAAATTGATTGTGTGTGATTATATTGTCCTATTTCATACTAGTTATGGACAATTAGTTCATCACTTAATTTTAATACTTTACTAGGTTAGGTCCCGTGTCATGCACGGTTATTTTAATTATCCTATATTTTCTTTTAATAAATTAATTTTTTATAGCATAAAATATAAAATTATTAATTATCGAACAACATTGAAGTAACATAGAATATTTGATCAAGATCATATTCTTAAAAAATATTTCACTAAAATTATATCTTCTTGAAAAAGATTATAAGTTTCCTAATTATTCTGTAATTAATTATGTATCAACATAAAAATGGTAAGTATTATTGCTCATTTATATAGTTGACAACTACACAATTTGTTTTTAAAATAACTTGCTTAAATTAAAAATTAATAATTAATCATTAAAAAAAAATATACTAAGGACACACCAGAAATTGACACGTGTCATTGCTGGTGTGTCTTTTAGTATATAGCTATTGATTAATTGATTGATATGCTTCAAATTAGTTAACACGTTATTTTATCACGTTTGTAAATGCATAAATTCAATCGTAAATAAATCTAACTATAAATAAGTAAAAATTATTGAAAAAATTGGTATTTTAAAAATACAAATAGAGAGGAATCTAACAAAATACCACACGTCTACAAAGTATGTTTTTTCATAAATAAATTTTTTTAAAAAAAAAATTAAAGTAAAGTTTTTGTTTACAATTCTAGTACTCTTCTATATATCAACAGTTTCAAGATTTTCAGCCAGCAAATACCAGCATACCCACAGTTTCACATTTTGAGCTATTGTAATTTCACGTTTTGAGTCAATGTTCTGCTACTTCACGTTTTTCAGTCATTGTTTGTTAACTTCACGTTTTGAATCACTGTTTGATAACTTCACGTTTTGAGTCACTATTTAACAACTTCACATTTTAAAACACTGTTCAGCAATTTCATGCTTTGAGTCATCTTTAAAAGAATGTAACCCTTACATTATTATTTAACTTACATACTTGAAAATGTTTTTGTAATTGAATAGTCATAAGTGGTCATAATATTTCATTGATTTTACCGCATTAGTGAAATTTCTTTAGATGAATTACGATTGAGACACGTATTAAATTTATTAAAAAAAAATCTTAAAACATTTAATACCTCAATAATTATAATTACTAAACAAAGATAAATTTAAGACCCTAATAATTCAATTGTAAAATTCATACAATATTGCTACCAAATTGACATAACCGTGTAAATTGCTTATAAGGGTCGATCTTTCAGGGGCGGAGAAAATAGTAAATTGAATACTCTCAACTTAAATTTACAATCAAAAATGAAAAAAGTAGGCGAAATAACGATTTGGCAAATATACAAAAATAAAATCCTATTCCTTTGAAAATGATTCTCCATAATTTGGAGTAGTAATAATGTAGCACTTTTGAATTGACCTATCAATTTCTTAAAAATTTTCCCCTCCCACCCTCTTTTTCTACCATAAAGTTCCAAATTTCAATTTAACCTCTTCCTCATTTTCAAACCAACATAATCCCAATTGGTAAGAGAGAGAAAAAAATCCAAAAAAAAAACTAACCCAAAAAAAAAAAAAAAAAGCAAATCTCCCTCCATCTTCCTTCTTTCTCTCTCCTCCTCTTTGCTGGGTGTATGTTTTGTGTGAATTTTGAATCTGTTTGACTAGTTTTCCGCTTACATAAATAAAGCCCATTTTTATTATTTCTTTTTCATTTCTCCTGTAATAGAAGAAAAAAAAAAAGAAAAAAACAGTCAGAAATTTAGACTTCCTTTCTTATTTAAAAAAAAAAAAATTAGACTTCCTTTCTTACTTACAGAAGAGAGAAGAAGAAGAAGACAACCCAGAAGAAAAACTACTACTACTGCTACTGAGGAGAGAGAAAGTCATCGGAAAATCTGTAGAGAGAGAAAGATTGAGGAGAGAGAAAGAGATACAGAGAGTCAAATGTGATGGGAAGTGGGTTCTCTCACCTCATCCCATGTCTCAAACCTGAGTACAACCACCATAACAACCACCACCATAACAAGAGCTTCGATTCCAACAACCATAACCACCAAGACCCGGTTGTTTTTGCGGCGGAACAACCTCTTGACGAAACCCTAGGACACTCTTTCTGTTACGTTCGTTCTTCTGCTCGTTTTCTCTCTCCTACTTCTTCCGATCATTTTCTCTCTCCTTCTCATTCTCTTCGTTTCGACGATAGATCCGACCCGACCCGACAACCGTCCAGAGTTGGTGGGCCGGAAACCGGGTTTCGCACCATTTCCGGAGCTTCGGTTTCTGCGAATACTTCTACTCCGAGGACTGTTGAGGTTGAAACCGCCGCGGTTTACGGGTCCGGTACGATTGTAAACGGGTTTGATTGTACGTCGTCGTTTTCGGCTTTGCCGTTGCAGCCGGTTCCAAGAGGGGATAGTTCCGGGTTTTTCCTCTCCGGTCCGATCGAGCGTGGGGCGTTATCTGGGCCGCTTGATTCCGGGCCGGATACTGGGCGGGTCCCCTTCTCGGCCCCTCTTGGTGGGGCCTACAAGAAGAAGAAGAGGAAGAAGAGTTTGAAGAAGTTGTATAGAAGCTTCTCGGAGAAGAAGCGGCAATGGGTTGTGCCGGTAGTAGGGAGGAAGGAGAGTAGCGAAGAGGAGGTTGGGAGGAGGAGAGAGAAAGAGGTTGAAGATGATGTTGAGGGTAGTAATGTAAATGTACAGTGGGCGTTGGGGAAGGCGGGGGAGGATCGGGTACATGTGGTTGTATCGGAAGAACATGGGTGGTTGTTTGTTGGGATTTATGATGGGTTTAACGGCCCGGATGCTCCGGAGTTTCTAATGGGTCATTTGTATCGAGCCGTGTTTGGTGAGCTTAAAGGCTTGTTTTGGGATAGTGAGGAAGATGATGATGGTGTTGTTTTGGAGCAGAAAGTGGAGAATCATTCCGAAATTGAGGGGAGATTGTGAATGTGGATAGTGGGGAGGGGGAAAATCGTGTCGGGGAGGAGCATGGTGGTGGCGGGGCGGTCAAGAGGGTTACGTTCGAGGCGGGGTTGGATAAGAAGGAGATAATTAGGAGGAAATTGTGGGAGTTTCTTGCGGAGGATGATGCTGAAGATGGGCTTGATCTTTCGGGGTCTGATAGGTTTGCATTTTCGGTTGATGATGCGGTTAGTGTTAGCAATGCAGGGTCTGCCGTGGGGAGGAGATCGTTGCTGTTATCGAAATTGAAGCAAGGGTTAACTAGGAGTAAGGAAGGGCATAGTAGAGGGTTGTTTCAATGGAGGTTTGGGGTAGAAGAGAAGGATAAAGTAGATGATGTTGAGAATAGAGTTGAGGAGAGATCGTGTAGGAGTGGTCGTAGGAGAAAGACGGGTCCTGTGGATCATGACTTGGTTTTGAGGGCATTGTCCCAGGCATTGGAAAAGACGGAGCAAGCTTATTTAGATTTAACAGATAAAGTGCTTGATCGGTATCCAGAGCTTGCGTTAATGGGTTCGTGTTTGTTAGTTGTTTTGATGAGAGATGAGGATGTGTATGTGATGAATTTGGGGGATAGCCGTGCTATTGTTGCACAATTGGAACCTCAAGAGAGTTGTTCTAATGCCGGATTGAAGGAGAAGGCAGAATGTGGGTCTAGTACAGAAGGAATTGTTGAGGAATGCACAGCTAGTGGTGAGAAGTCGGGCAATGTGGATGATGAGTTTCCTTTGGAGGCCATGAAGCTGACTGCATTGCAGCTTACGATTGACCACAGTACCAGTGTTGAAGAAGTAAGACTCCAATCTTGTTGTTGAGTAGCTAATTGAAATGCCTCTTTGAGATGCTGGTTGTTGTTTGATTTCTTTCATGCTGATGCTGTTGTCTTTCATGATCATGTTGCTTATCTCACCCTTTTCCTGCTTCCAGTCTGAATTGCAAGGTAGGGCAACATTGGCGGTGCTTGAGTGTTTGTTAAAATAGCAGTGCATTATTGTGGCTCTACCCAATAGAATTTAGTCTTTTTGCCTCTTTGGTGCCTTTATCCATACTATTGATTCCACCGCAGCTGCAATTTCCTTGCACATTGTTAAACTATGACTGATTATGTGAACTAAGTCTAACAATTGTCTGGAATTCTCGAGGCAGCTATATAGGACCCAAGTGTCCAATTAGCAAATTAATGTACTAAGCCCAATTGTTGCTGCTTCACCTTGTTGTAGATTTAGCTCTAGATATGTCCAACCTATGCTTGTGTAATTTGGGCGTAGTTTTCTGCATGCCTCCCCACCTCAATCCTCCTCTCCTCATAGATTGGTGAATGCATATGCTGGTGCTCTTCGTTCAAGAGCTAAAAATACTATTCCCCAATAGATTGTGGTACTTATTTGTATGGCATTAATTATGGTCCAACTATACTTTCTGTATCTCCACCTCTACTTGCTACTTGCTTGTAATTGTTTTCTAGTGTAACTTAAATCCTTGAAAGCCACATGTATGTACCTGAGTGTGTTTGAGTATATTAAATAGGAATATATATAAAACAAATTCTTTATTTGCCTTGTTTTGGAAGCAGTGTTTGCAAACTAGTGTTTTATCTGTCACCACTCTCATATTTTCCTTAATTTCTCAAGCATGTCTGATTATATATGATTTCTGTGATATATCTCATTTACTTGAACAGCAGTTGCTAGTTCTCTTTGCCCTTGTTTATTTTAGTGGTAGACTATACATAAATGAA